TTGGCCCATGATAGAAAATGCAGTTGATATCTATGGCTTGGAAACAGAAAATTAGGGTAGTTAATTTTGCGGAAAGACACAACTGTCAAGTTGGCTTCAAAACAACTTTTTTTTCACACAGCAGCACAGCATTCGGATCTGCACGGCAAGGAACAGAGATAACAGTAATGTGGTTAAATAGGTTATGGTGTTTTTTTCAAAGAAAAAAGATAGGAGACCAACAGAGATAATTTATCACACAGGGGCGACTGACTGTCTGTAGCTATTCGGAAGGTGCTTGAAGTTAGTTAAGAACTTTTTTCCCCCAATTAATCAAAATATTTCAGTTACTTGCATAATCCATGCCTACTGTGCCAGAAGAACAGTTTATTGTCTTTGTAAAACAGTTTGTTAACATTATCAATTGTGTAAATATAGTTAATTATTAAGGACTTGGTTACACATGAAAGCTGCTTTTATCATCTTTAAACTGTTTGTGGGACACTGTTGTGGGCAATTGGCTGCTGCAATATACAGTAAATTTATACATAAGAACATAAGAAACGCTAGACGAAAAGAGACCAAGGTCCATCTAGATTGCTTTCCACCTTCCTGACAGTCGTATACACATATGTCCCAAACTAACTATGTACTATATCCCATAATATTATTTCCTAAAAGAAAACTATTAATCTGTGTTTGAAAAATCACCACTTCCTGCTTCAACCGTCTACTTAGGGAGCCTGTTCCACAGGTTCACTAATCGTTCACTGAAATAGTGTTTGCGTAGATTCGTTCTGAATTTCTCCCCCTTCGATCGCATGCTGTGTCCTCTGGTGTTACTATTCTGGACAAGTTGAAACAGTCTGGCATGATCTATACTGTCTTGCCCCTTTAGAATCTTAAAGACAGCAATCATGTCGCCTCTCAATCTTCTCTTTTCCAGTATGAACATGCCCAATTTACTTAGTCCCTCCTTATAGTCCAGTCCTTCCATTCCCTCAATCATTTTGGTTGCTCTCCTCTGAATCTTCTTGATTTCTCCAATATCCTTTTTGCACTGTGGCAACCAGAACTGTACACAGTACTCTAAATATGGTCTCACCAATGATTTATACAGTGGCAGGATTACCCCACTATTTCGGCTTGATATTGATCTTTTGATACATCCCAACGTATGGTTTGCTTTACTCACTGCCAGAGAACGTTGTTGGGAGAGCTCAATTGTCAATCAGGACTCCCAGAAAGTATATTCTGTGAAGCGCTTTGAGACGCCTCAACGACGTGATAAGGCACTATATCAAATGCAAGGATTATTATTATTAAACAGCCCAAAACATCCCATTGAAGGTCATATATTGTTTGTCCATTTCAATTTTCACTATTTCAATAGATAGCAAGCAATGTGCTTTGAAATAATGATTGTCTGATAATGAGGGCAGTATTCAGATTCTGTGAATGGTACATATTCAATTTAATCATCGAATTACTTAAAATTCACTGTTACTGTATTAATAATAAATTAACTCAATTAAAAAAATGTATCCACGAAAATAGGTTCTAGCAGTAGATCTTTAGATTTGAGGCCCAAGGATGGATTAAGAGTCTTACTCAATATTTGAACTCATCAAATCTCTGCACATTTTGCTGATGTTGGGAACTCCAAACTGATACGAATTGAATAATTATACCACTTTATTTAGAATGGGAACTGGCAGGGTGCGGGGAGGGGCAGCAAGAGAAGGGAAATATATGGAACCTATTGTTCACACTATCGGACAAACATTAAAGAGGTTTGTTAAAGTAAATGTGTACAGCTATTGCCAAGCTGATAAAAGCACATTTTCAGCTCCGTAAATGGATTCTAATATATTGAGTTGTACCAAATTGTCAGACAATCATAAATATTATAAAGTGAGAGGTGTGTATGCTTACCAGTGTCTTATGTTACCCTGGTTTATGCCTTATAACTTCTGATTAAAAGGAGTCTGGAAACAGTTTTTCTTGTGCAGAACTCCCCCACGTGTGACATGTTGATGTTCCACTTCAAAACACGTCAGGAATGGGGAGTGCAGTTTGGAATCAACTAACCTATTCCAAGTATCTTTCAAGACCTTGAGAAGCAGATAGTTCAACTATTTCATCTCCAGGGCAATGAAAATAACCTCACAACCAATCTGCTGCTGATTTCTCTGCTTTAGTGAGAAATGATTTGCAAAATAACAATGTCCATGATACAGTGTATGCACATGCCAGCAGTTTTGAGCAGAGCCTCGTAAATCATCAAGTAAAATAGACCAGTGGGTCTCAGTCTCCTCGACCCATGCAATTGTAAAACCACAGACCAAAGTTCAGTACTGGAAGCTAACTATTATCCTTCCAGATGAGTGCACCAAATACAGAATCAGAATCATAACAACATTTTATGTTTGTTACATTTGTATAGAGTCTTTCATATTAGGCTGACGTTCCAAAGGACTGGACAGTCAGGGATTTGGACATGAGCAGGGAGCCAGGATCAGGAGGGGTGGACAGCAGGGAGGGTAGGGGTAGGAGTGTGGTCGAAGATGTGGTCGAAGAGGAGAGTTGGGGTCCTGTAGCTCAGTGGTTAGAGCACTCGCTTTGCAAGCGAGAGACCTGAGTTCAATTCCAGGCAGAGGGCGAAACCTTGGGCAAGTTTCCTTACTCCACACGCCTAATAATAATCCCTCCAAAAACCAAAAACAATAATAAATTGGTCATTTTCAATCTACGACTGTTTGTGGGACATTGCTGTGCACAATTGGCTGCCGCATTCGCCCACAAATATACAGTCAATTCACTTTACAGTGTGTTCTGTGAAGCGCTTTGGGATGTCCTCCCGATGTGAAAAGCGCTATATCAAATGCAAGGATTATTATTATTATTATTATAGAGTTGAGACATGCCTTGAAGGAGACAAGGGAGGGAACAAGGTGAAGGGACTTTGGGATGGAATTCCAAAGGCTGGCGGCAGAGAGGCTGGAGGTCTGACTGCCAATGGTGATGAGGAGGCCCAAGGGAGAGGAGAATTGAGTGGGAGTGATGCAGGGTAGAGAACAGAGATGTGGGCATTTTGGGGAAAGCAGCTTGGGTCAGAGGTGGCAGCCAAAATGTGCACGCCAAGGCTAGAGGCAAAGCGATTAGCATGGCATAGTCATAATAATAATCCCTCCAAAAACAATAATAAATTGGTCATTTTCAATCTACGACTGTTTGTGAGACATTGCTGTGCGCAATTGGCTGCCGCGTTCGCCCACAAATATACAGTCAATTCACTATACAGTGTGTTCTGTGAAGCGCTTTGGGACATCCTCCCGACGTGAAAAGCGCTATATCAAATGCAAGGATTATTATTATTATTATAGTCAGCCCATAGACATGGCAACAATGGGGACTAGAGGAGACAATGCAGTCATCGTGTTATTTACCAGCTTGCACAACCTGGTAAATAACACAGAGAAGTTTACAGGGAGAAGAGAGGGGAACAACAACAACAACAACAAAATTACATTTATAGAGCGCCTTTCACGTCGGGAGGATGTCCCAAAGGGCTGAACAGTCAGGTATCGGGGCCCGAGCTTGGGGGAGGGGATATGGTGTAGGGGTGAGGGAAGGCAGAGAGGTGGGAGGGAAACCAAAGGCACAATCGAAGAGAAAGGTCTTGAGACCAGCCTTGAAATAGGCAAGAGAGGAAGCGAGGCGAAGCGACCGTGGGATGGAGTTCCAGAGTTTGGGGGCAGAGAGGCTGAAAGCCCGGCCACCGATGGTAGGGTGGGTCGGGCGGGAGACATGAAGCAGGCCAGAGCCTGATGAACGGAGGGAGCGGGCAGGCTCGTTGGGAGTCAGAGAGGTAGGAGGGGGCAAGGCCATGGATGGCCTTAAAGGTGAGGACGAGGATCTTGAACTCGATCCTCTGGGGGATGGGGAGCCAGTGGAGTCGGGCGAGGTGGGAGTGATGGGGTCATGGAGCCTGGTGTGTGAGAGTACACGAGCTGCAGAGTTTTGGATGATCTGCAGCTTGTGAAGGGAAGTGTTGGGAAGGCCGATGAGGAGGGAGTTCCCGTAATCAAGCCTTGAGGTGACGAATGTGTGGGTGAGGTTTTCAGCAGCCTGAGGGGTGAGGCAGTGGCGGAGTCTGGCAATATTGCGGAGGTGATGTAAGCAGTGCCAGTCATGGCGCGAAGGAGATAATAATAACAAAAATAAGACTGTACTAAAGAGAAAGGTGAAGCTCATGAAGAGGATAATCTGTCTGACCAGGAATAGCGTAGCCCAGTCTCCAAAGAGAAACGATCCAGAGTAATAACAGTTAGCAGTGTACCACATATTTTACTGTTCTACTATTTAGCTTAGACTGACTAAAGACTGACTTATAAAACATAATTATACAGACTTATGTTATGATAATCCTTACATTTAGTACAATGCCATTAATCCCAGGAGGACATCCCAAAGTGGGCAGTGACTGTGTGTTCTGTGGTCAAAAATAATACAGTTCTTCTGTTTGGAATAGGAAAGCTATCTCTTGTTCCAGGAAACAGTACAACCCAAAACTAATGCAGACCAAGGGATTAAGAAGATGGTTTGCTCCCTGTCAGTCTTGATTCTCTACAACATCAGAGATAGGTGACTGGGCTGCCACTGTTCTACAAAGTCAAGCATAGAGCAGCACCAGGAGGATTATGATGTAAGCCAAATCTCCTTGCTTATTTCAGAAAGATAGGGCTCCTCATGAGTGTCCAACATTCTCTTAGATAACGTTAGCTGTCACTTGAATGCAGTAATACCAGACTATTGGTAATGTTCATTTGTATCCCTGTGTATGGCTATTCCTAATTCACGACTATGTTTCCTCAGGAGCTATAGAGTTTAGATTTGTGAAACATGTGTCCTTCCTACAGTTGCATCTGGTTATACTGTTCAACACAAACATGTATTACAAAGTGTTCCAACAGGATATTTAAAGTAATAATGAAAAGAATGCCTATTGTTTTAATGTGAGTATTTATTTTAACATGTTCTTGTTTTTCTCTCTGAAATAAAAACTCCAGTAGCCAAACTATTTACAGCTAAATGTTTACATACATTATATACAGCCAAGAAATGTTGACTTCATGTGATACATTTTTTGCTCAGTACATTACCTTAAAACGCACAGAAAATTGTATATTCAACCGGATTGCGGGATGGGGTTGAATTTAGGATTCAATCCTTCCCAGTGAAGCATTACACAAGAATATCCCATATGGATGCAAAAGTGGTAGATGATACCATTCTTATAACAGAAATAAATACATTTCTTTTATTTTCATAAATGTACATATATTTTATAGACATCTGGTTTTAAAAAACGAAATTCAACAGTTAGAATAGCTTGTGCATATTTGATCACTTCTAAAGCACTTCTGAATTTATTTTATCTTTTCCGTCTCTGACTGGCTCTTGTAGGAGACATTGATTTTGATCCACAAATTAAAGTCTTTTTGGAGTATGCTTACACAGTGCTTTAAAACTAATTTCCGTACACATTGTAAAAAAAAGGTTTTACTATAACTGTTGCTAAACTACTTAAACTTAACTTTGGAAAAAGTGCAGTTCTCTTTTCTAAAGATACAGCTCTCAACAAAATAAATCACATAAATTGTACATAATTTTGGTAAATGTAAGAATCATTACATTGTTTGTGATTTGGGGCCTTTTGGTCGTTCTTTTTTGCATGAAGTTGTGGAACTGGCAAAAAAAATCAAGCAGTGAAGTTACAGAGAAACATGTAAAATCAAATAACACACTGTCACTCAGTAGTTGACTGGTGGGTGTACCATTCAGAACCATATAGATCTGGATGATCCCATGCTTCATCATTTGTGTTGCTAAATTTAACCATTGTGGTGATCAAACAGAATTGACTTGCATGGAGTTGGGACACAGATTGGGATTCCGAGCTAACCTGTTGCTCCTCCTGGATACACATGTGTATGTGGTGTAGCATAGGTCAGGGCCAGTTGTATTGACCCTTAGTCAAATAACCTGCTAGCATTCACTACCACACTCAAACATAAAGAACACCCAACATGGACAAGAGAGTGGAGGAGTGCTGTTGTGAGTCACTTCCTTAAGGAAATAAAATTGGAAAAGAAAATCACATTACACTTTGTCATCCAGAAATGCGGCTCAAATTTATCATAGATATTGACTCATTTAAATCACAAATGTAAAATTCATGTATGCCCACATAAATTGTGAGTAACTCCGGTACATTATCAATTTTCTGTGAAAGTGAACACCCCATAGACATATCCTGAGGATATTCTCGCTGCTACCTGCATTTCACCCAGTGGTACAGGTGATGTATAAACACACACTGAGGGAGGGAGTGGAGGTGCTTTTTGAACACACTCCACACAAGAAACTGTGGGCAAAGAGGCTCTCTCAAACACACAAACATTTAACTGGCATATAAAGTTCTAAGGAGTATGAAGGCAGTCATTCTTCATGTCTCATACATGCAGAGGTGTAAATATGTCAATAAGCTTAGGAAATCATTTCTTGTAACATATCAATAGAATGCCATTGTGGGGGTTTATCATGGAATCCCCTTGATTAAAAAACAAAGTTGCTAATTTTAGCAATTATTGCATGACACACTCTATAAAGACAAAGTCTTGTTGCAAATTAAGTAGTAGATACATGCATCATATCAACTGACGCATTGCAGTTGAATTGTAGCCACAAGGCTTCTAAATGCAATTTATTGAAAGTAGTCCTTATACTTCAAGACCAAATACAAGTATGAGCTCAGAAAGATTGTGCTACTTTTGTATTGAGTTCATGAGCAGTGATGTACCACATGAAGCAGTCCGGGCAGTGCTATCAGACATAATCAGAATAAATTTGCATTTTCTTTGAAATAAGATTAAATGAATTTACTCTATTGAATTGCACAGTTTGGGCTATAATGAACAGTACGTCAGTCCAGTTAAGGTAACTGCCACGAATGAGAAATAAATGTATTACATTTTACTTTGAAGTCTGTAAACACTTTGCGGGCAGTTTATTTAACTGATGATGTTCTGTCTGCCACATCCACTGAGTCTTACATGTTTTGGGCGAGAAGTGGGGCAGGTGTAGATGTGCGTTTGTATTTGAAAAGTAAATCATTTTGTTCGCTTAAAACTGCCTGAAGCAGACCAGTTTTGTTGCTCCTTGACCTTTGCAATTTAATGACAGTGCACAAATGTCACTGATGAATGTTGACAGGTCTCCATCATTTGGTAATTGGACGGCACTGAGATATTGTCCATTGAGCCACAGGATGTGCTAGGAGCAGTGTCGGTGCCTGGATTTGCTACTAGTGCTTGAGTGGAATCGCATGACTGTTTTTCCGCATCTTCTGAATTGAGAGAAGCTAAGCTCCTCGGTTTTGATCTCTTCCACAATTTGGCATGTTTCCTGAGAAGTCCAAGATCATCTTTGAAGTGTGGATTGAAAAGCATGTAGAGCAATGGGTTTAGGCATGCTGGCAATGGCAGAATCACTAGGAGAATCAATTTGATCACCTCAGGACTAATAACCGTGAGGTTGAGCAAGGAAGAAAATGACAAGAAGGCCACTGGGCAGTATAGAATACAATTAGTAAAGAGCAACCAGGCCACATGTTTCACCATAGAACAGTCCCAGAGATGGTCCAAATCTCCCTTTTCTAAAGTACAGAAAAGCTTTGTGTAGGTTATAGTCATTACAAGAAAGCAGAAAGAGTTCAGCAAGACTAAAGCTACCAGAAAGCCCAGGGTGGACGATTCCCCGAAGGGTAATGGAAAACAAAGGGGAGAAATCCCATACTCTCCCACATGAAAGAGTGGAAGCATTGCTATTACGAAGGCCAAAATTGCACAGACAACAGCTGCTATCTTGATGCTGCTCAGTGCTTTTCCTTGCTTTGTAGCACATTTTGTGGAGAGACTGCGTTCAACTGCTGCAATGGTCAGCAAGAAAATGGACATTTCTGAAGCAAACACTGCAAAGAAACCTCCAACTTGACAACCTGTTCCATTCTCCCACCGTGCTCCGTATTTTGCAAAACTGCCCAAAGTCAACATATCCACAACTGCCAAAATACCGCTGTAGCAACCCATCAGAGAGTTCACCATTGACATGAGGCCCACTAAAAGCTTTGGTGGGGATAGAAAGGCTGGAGACCCAAAGACAGTTGTGGTGACCAAGCCATTGCAAATAAGAGAAAGCAATACAATGGTCCACACACCAAGACGAATCATCCAGCTGCCAAACAGGTAATCACAGGGTTTGAAGGGACCTGAAATTGAGAGGAATTGGATTAACTTTTGTTAACATGTTGCCAATTTAATTTCTTACCAAAGAAAAGCCATAGTGAAATTTAGCTTTGAGTATAATTTACGCTCTCAGTAAATGCAAAACATTTTGAACCATCATGAAACATCATAATTAAGAAACATTCAAATTAGTTATTTCTATTACGATAAAAGTCATGTTGCAATTAAATTCTTTTGCTAATAATAATAATCCTTGCATTTGATATAGCGCCTTATCGCTTCTTTGAGAACTCTCAAAGCACTTCACAGAATATACTGTCAAGTGAATTTACTGTATATTTTGCGGACAAAACGCAGCAGTGCCCTACAAACGCTGGATTGAGTGATCAATTTTTTTTAATGAAATTATTATCTGTGGAAAAACGATCCACCAATCGACCAATGACCGGGTTCCTACTCACTGCTAGTTGAACAAATGCTAGTGGAGCAAGAAAACTTGCCCAACATTTTGCCCTGCTGGGAATCGACCCCAGGTCTCTCATTTGCGAGGTGAGTGCTCTAACCACTGAGCTACTGGACTTTTTATGAAAAGTCAAATGTATAGTTATTAAATTTTTGCTTAAAGGAATTGGATTTTAATCAACAACAGTGACTTGAATTTGTATGAAATTTAGAAGCGCCCTTCACTCAGAGTGGTGTGTTTGAGCGCTGAACAATGGCGGAGTCTGGCACTGAGCTGCGAGAAAGGGGAGGTGACATTAGGCACGGTCGAAGAGGAAAGTCTTCAGGTGCAATTTGAAGATGGGTAAAGAGGACGCAGGGAGAATGTAAGCTTTGGAGCAGATTGATTCGTACAATGGAAGCTCTTGCTCTTTTTGGCTGCACAGCCCCCAGTCAAAGCCCTGCTGCTTAACGTTTATTTTAAGTCTAACTAAGCACTTGTACATTTTCAAAACAAAATGATTACTTTTTCACCTGGCATTGGAGTGCACTGGACAGAGAGTTGAACTTTAGGATCTTCTTCAAAATCAACTGAGAAATCATCTAGGTCATGGTCATCTGAAAAGAATAGTACAATACAATTTACATCTATATTGCAGCTTTCATGTCAGGGGAATGTCTCAAAGCACTTGACAATACTGGATGGGAACCTGAGTTAGAAATGGCGAGGAGAAATGTGATGGAAAGTGCATCCAAAGAAGTATGTTTTGAGACATGTCTTGAACAAGGGGACGAAAGGAGTAAGAATGAGGGGAGAAAGTGAACAGTACACGTATTCAATATGCGTTAGTTGGTAGGTTAATCTTTTTAATGTGCCGAATCGTATACACTGAATGATAGATTAAACTACGTTTGGTAAGCATTTAATGTTTTAAAGTGTTTTTATAATGGGATTTCTGGTTATAAGCGCAAATTCTGGTTTTAAGTGCAAATTTCTTACACTTAATGGACAGAGCAACTGTGGCTATGGATAAAATGTAAAGTGGCTAGGTTATACTGGCACTAAATCTTTTTAAGAAATTCCCAATGTACAGATAACTTTAATGACAGTTTTCACCTCCTCCCAAACATGTTTAATCCATAATTCAGCTCCCTTTGCATATTTTAAAATGCTCAAATACCCTATTACAAAGCTGGAGCAATTGTCTTCCTCTTTAATATTAATGGGGACAAATTTTCAGGCTCATGAAGGAATCCTCTTGAGAAATACTGGAAATGAGATGCAATATGTAGTAAAGTTTAAGAGAAATATATAAACATGAAAACTGTCTTCATTTATTATTTAAGAAAAAAATAATAACTTTGTACCTTATATGTTTGATGCAAACTGGTAGGTAATCCAGGAAGAGGTAAAATGGTCTAGAGCTAAAATGTTGAAGTGTTTGTTTAATTGATAAGAACCAAACCCTATTTGCATTTTTGAAATCTTCTACACAGAGAGCTGATAGTACATGAACACCAGACTAGTTGAGCGAGAGTTGTCTATTTTTGTTCTGTAATCAATCTATGAAATTCTACACATCATGGTAGAGGCAAAATCCACAATTGTTTTTAAAAGGGAAATTGGACAAATAAAATAATAAAATCGATTCATGGAAAGGTAAAATGAGTAGGACTAAATGGATAGCCTCTCAAATTGTACAATTCTATGAGACCCAGTGAGACACAGAAATAATAGCACTTCACTCTCACCTTGAGCGCTCAGCATTCCAGTATCCCGTTTGTGAGCTTCTTCAGCACTGCTGTTCTCAGCTCTACCCCACTGCCTGTCACGTTTATAGGAGTTTTTACAAGATCCACATGCACAGCACTGGTAGGCGTACGGCATTTCTAGAGCCCTGCAAATGTAAACAATGAAGCATTTCTACCCAATTTGCTATCAGTGAGTTAAAGGCACTACCCACTGAGTTGCAGGTGAATTCAAGGTAACTTGTCAGAGATCTGGTTGGATTCATGCTGAATTCAAAGGCAAATTCTAATAATACAGTAATTACTCTTGCATTTGTTATAACACCTATAACATCAAAATATCTCAAAGTACTGCACTTTGAGAAATACTGCCAGGTATTGTGACTTTTTTATGTAGGCAAACTCTTAAGTGGGATGCATGTAAACACTTACAAAATGGTGTAGACACAACTAAATTACTGGCTAAGTTTTCACATTTCACTTAAAGTTCCTTTGCATCACTATTGCTCTGAGGTACATTCTACATCGTATTGTGAGCAAAGCAATTTTCATGATCTCATGGTTGAAAACCCTCAGTTTTATATCTCAACAAGGCTGCATGTTGGTTTCCAAAAGATGGAGAAATTGTGGGATCTAAAATGATTCATTAATACAGATTCAGATTGGGAACTCTTTTCACTAACTGTTGTACGTCACACAATTAACACTGACGCAAGGTGTGGATTGTGCTGGAGTAGAGTTTTTGCGAGTCTCCATAACTTCTGATTTTCTTGTTAAGAAATCTTGTTAGAAATAGTCGCATATTATGTCCCACAATAGGTTAATATTCTACTTTTTTATTGAAAAAAATCTGTTTTAAATAAGTTGCTATCACAGCTGGGCAGTGTTAGAGGAATGCACTTGCTTACTGCATGTACATAACACATTGTCAAAAATATACAAGAAGAAATCATGCACAACAGAGTCAGACTTTCACAATCAATCATTGCAGTTTTGCACCACAATTTAAGCATTTGTGGCTTGTTAAGTTGGCAAAACTCCCCAAGATGTGTTTGTATGGAGTACTGTGATCTTACCCCAAAACCCAGTACTTTGGTCATCCCTCCATGATCAGGTCACACCATGCAACTGAGAATGTAATGAAAATAATGCACATAAAGTATGCTTCTGTACCTCAGGTTAGGAAGATTTTCCACTGGTACTAAATCCTGTAGAGCTTGATTGCCTGTTATTTTTAGATGTCTCAATCCATTTAGACCAGCCACAGGAAGAGATGACAGCAGATTGAAGGTGAGATCGCTGCATGAAATGAATACTGGTAAGCAAATCTGCTACAAGTCGTATACTCTACTTCAGGAACGATATTTGTTTTTCTAAACACTTGTTACACAGGATATAACTCAGAACATGTTAAAGAATACAAATGTAAAAAGAATTGATACAACAACAACAACAAGATTCCATTTATAAAGCGCCTTTCATGTCAGGAGGACGTCCCAAGGCGCTGCACAGTTGGGTCATGACCCGAGCAGGGGGGAAATGGTCAGGGTGAGGGGAGGGGAGGGAGCGAGGAGGGGGGAAATGGTCAGGGTGAGGGGAGGGATGGGAGGGAGCGAGAAGGGGGAAGAGAGTCGAGAGGGGAGCTGAAGGCTCGGTCAAAGAGAAAGGTTTTGATAGGCTCAAGATGTGGTGTTTGGTAATAATCCTTGTATTTTATACAGCGCCTTATCACGTCATTGAGACATCTCAAAGCACTTCACAGCATATACTGTAAAGTGTAGTGACTGTGTATTTTGTGGGTGAAATGCCCACAGAATACACAGTTGAATTAGTTAATAATATCCTAGGCATCACTAGGATAGTTTATGATGCCTACAATTGGTCTAAGTTCCCAGTGGTAGGGAGTGGGGAATATCAGCTTGGGTGTCTGGTCCTATTAGGGGCCCTCATCCCTTTTACACCTGTTGGAAGCAGCGTGTGTGTGTGCGCGCAATGGAAGGACGTGATTGGAATTAGCTGTGATGTCCTCTACATGAATAATCTGCCAACGTTCACTAGTGAACCTCACTCATGAATAAAGTGTCAAGTGGGTGAGGCACAGGATGGTGCACGGGACCCGTGGAATCATACTCCAACAGAAGGAAACTAGGATTCAAATGCCTTCAGGAGATAAGAGGAGATAATTGAAGGAGAAAAATGGCAAGGATAAAAAAAAGGTCATGGGAAAAATATAAATGGAAAAATGACAACTCTTTGTTACACGCCTTAATATTGTTCAAAAAATCATTTACAGATAATAGAGCAAATAAAACAAAACAACTTACAGTTTGATTAAGGATGGCAAAGAAGTAAATGAATCTTGATGGATAAATGCAATCTTGTTCCAGCCAAGATCTCTGTAAGTAAACATATAAAAAATATTGATAATAAATAATAATCCTTCCACTCGATAAAATGCTTTTCATGTTGGGAGGATGTCTCAAAGTGCTTCACAGGATTTATGTAAAGTGTAGTGATTGTGTATTTTGTAGGCAAACACGGCAGCCAAATTGTGCACAGCGATGCCTTAGAAACAGCCATGAAGTGAATGATCAGTTTTACTCGTAAGAAATCCCTGCCTAAGTAAGCATTCCTAAACAGTGTGCGGACACAGGGAAACTCTCTTATACAACAGGTGCTGTGAAATATCTGAATTAGATTGGACGCAGATTAGATTAAGATAAAGATGAATGCCCCATTTATACTGTGCTTTTCACATCAATTGGATGCAAAAAAAACACGTCTTAAATCATGTTTACAATCTTCAGACAAGAACGATTATCTGATGAAGCTACCTTGAACGTTCAGTTTCGACTGGACATTGAGCCACATCATTGTAGTAGAAATGAGGGCAGTGATAATCGAATTAGTCTCCACTCAAAATAGTCCCTTCATATTTCTCGAGTTTTCGTCTATTAAAAGCGTTTTTTAAAATACCATTAAAGAACTTATTGCATAACCAGCTCTTTAACAGACCTAAATAATAGTGACCTATATTTGTTGTCGGTTAGCAGAGTTCTGTTGTTTAATTCTTCCGAAGCAGAACCCTCTTCAGCGTTTGGTAAAGCCTATTGTCTAGTGGGAGATATAAATGTTGTTCTCTGAATTGCTTTATAAACTGAGTGCAATTCCATGAAATGGTAGTTGGATGTTGCCAAACTTGGGTTTTAATTCTTAAGGGTGTTTCCAGTTCCATAGATGTGAACCCCAGTCAACCTTAGAGACCATGGGCTGCCTGATTCTGTACATTTCAGCTCAGGTACCGAGACTGATCATTATTATTACCATAATAGAGCTACTCAAACAACAGCAAGGCTCTAGGCCTGTAGTATTAACCCTAACCACTAAATTAAACACACAGTTTTAAATAAGAATAACATCTTAAAAGTTGTTGTCTCACTTTCTTTATATTTTCTCAACTTTCCTATTCTCTCACTTGTTCTTTGAACCACTATTGACAGATTAATCCATGGGGTTACCTGACCCTATGAGGGGGGCAATTGTGGTGCTCTCACTGCTGTCCCAGCTGAGATCAGCTAACTCACTGCTAACTCACTGCAGACCTTGAATCTTTTTGGCTTGTAAGGTTCAGTAACTTTTTCATATTTTCATATTTTCAACATCATATGTTTCTTGGCCCAGCTACACTCTAAGCTCCTTCTCAGGGGAAACATAGCTCTGGCCCTACCTAGTTGTTTTCCTTTTAAGTCTAAAAAGCAGAAAGCAAAGTGGGACATGTGCTCCAGTTACCCACTTAGCCTTGGGGGGAATGTATGTGTCTAACTGTATGTTGCACATGATGTAGTTTGATCTGGATACTCTCAAGCATGGTGATGGGTTTCCGCATGTGTCAGATACCTGGCTGACGCCCCCCAAAAATGTACATCAATGAAGACAAGTGCTAAGAGTCCATCTACTAAATCTTCTGCCCTCAGCTATTCTGCCATTTACATATTCACATTTGATTTGATGTCATATGGTTGGATTTATGTCACGCATGCTTCTCTCTATTGCTGTTAATCCCAACAATACCAGGGATTACAGAATTGTATGGCTTGCACATAAAATCTTGTGGAAACGTATATGGCACACATGTGGAACAATTCTTGTTTAAATACAAAATAACCTCACAATTGCTAACCACTGCCAAATTTACAAATTATGTTATTAAAGCTAAGATAAACATAAATTAAGGTAAAGTTAATAAAAAAAAGCTTGATCCATTATTAGATTAACTTCATGTCTTTATTTTTAAACAAATTTAAACGAATTTCACAAATTGAATTTGTCTTATTTGTCACTGCTACATGGAGTAGAACTGTTTACTTTGTTTGAGGTCTGAAAGAAAGCATCAAGCAGCTACAAGAGCTGATGCCGAGGTACTCACAGTGATCGCAGGGCAGTGAGCTGCTGAAATGTGTCATCTTGAATTTCACAGATTTTGTTGTGATGCAGGTCTCTGAAAATGCAAACAGATGGAAAACTGCAGTTTAAAGAGCAGCCACTCAACTGATGGATGGTGTTTACATTGCTTACGGGAGAAGAATTCTAATGGGAAAAAGTTCAGCTCTTTAAACACGGAGTCGTTTTTTTGACAGGTGTCATCAGTTAACAGATGAACTCTTAGGTCATTTTCACCTCTGAAGAGTACAAAGCAGTTTGCTACCACCGCTGGCTTTTGGCTTACATTTTCTGAAGCTTCTGGCAGCCGAAGAAACTTGGTAATTCCTCAATCAAGTTATAAGACAGATCCCTGTTAACAGTAAAAGGAGGCAATGAATTAAAGTAATTATTAAACAAAAATAGTGATTAAAGGAGTCCAATCTTAACTTTCATTTCATTGCATCACAGCTACCACAGAATTATCCATTTATTTTTCCATCATTGAAAGAAAAGCACTCCAGAAATTGTTGTTTGTTATGAAGTGGGAGATGGTTAAACAAAAGCACTAGTTTTTAAATGACCAACATTCCTCCCTCATGCAAACTCAACAAACAGAAAATGTTTTGCCATTCATCTAGTTGCTCTTCGTGACATGTTGCCGGTGCAGGCTTGCTGCTTTTGTTTGCCATAACAATCGTCACTACACTTTTAGGCGACTAATTGTCTGAAGATGCTTTGAGGCGCTTTGATGTAATAATACACTGTACCAAATGTGTTTTTCTTTATTAAAGGAATGAACATTTCTGGATTCCTTCCACTTGCATTTCCTCACTTAAAAATAAATAAAAACAAATAATAATAAATTAGTCACTTCAATCCATGACCGTTTGTGGGACACTGCTGTGCACAATTGGCTGCTGCGTTTAGCCCACAAAATATACAGTCAAGTCACTTTACAGTATATGCTGTGAAGAGCTTTGAGACGTCTCGAAGAGGTGATAAGGCACAATATCAAATGCAGGATTATTATTATTAATATATGCACAAACATTGTTTACTTGTGAGGCAGATTGCAATAGGTTTTTATACAGATTGACCCCAGTAGAACACACCCCAATTTAGCAAGGAAGTCTTCTGCCAGCTCACTACTGATGCATTTCCTGCACATTGTTTGCATGCGCAGTAATGCACAGGGAGCGCTGCTCATGTCACTAACTGTACATTACTCATATGCATTACTTCGACCCGGAAATCGTCCAATTTTTCACACCTCATTTTAATGCGGAGGTCTGAGCTTATGGATCCAGACCTCTGATTTGTAATGGAGTTTTTCCTGCGTGAATATTATAACAAGATCAAGCAGCAGGATGGTACTTTCCACATGAGCTTAATTCACGTCGTTTTATCAGTTGCAAACCCCTGTGCTAAAATGTTTTAAGATTTTGTGCCAAAAGAAATAATTAGAGTAACACCAAAAGGGTGTATTAATAGCTTCAGATGTGCAATTTAACAGTTTCTGAAAGCAATTGATGGATGCATGTATAAACCTGTGGGAACCTTGCAGAAATTGAGAATACATTTTGAAACTTTAGCTCAGCTTCTATGCAGTAAAGAAACATATTTAAGTGGAAATGAGAATTTGTTTGTTTGTAGCTTGAAATAATGAGAATATTTCATTTTTTAAAAAATTGATCAACTAGTTAAGAAATATCCATTCTGTGATCAATCAGTTTGAACTAATACCTGTAATTGATCTTTGTATCAGAGCAGTTCAAAGCATTCTCTGCAGAGGCTGTTGATTTTGGAGTGGGGGAAGGAGAAATATAATCCTACCCTTCCCTCTCCAGAAGACCTGATTGATGCTGAGGGGGGTGGGGTTGCGGTTCTATATAATACTAGGAGCTCTCTCGGTGACTATTTGAAGTGTGAGATGGTTATTCCCCATTAAACTCACCCAGGTGATATTTTAGTTATCAAGCATCAATATATTGTATTATTCAGTCATGGAAGGAATCAAAAGCCAACCTCAATTCTGTTCTCACTCAATGTCCACACATGTCCATGATTCCAACAGGGATCACTGCACTGTCATCAGAAACATGAACTCTGATTGATTTGTTTCTTCCCCACAAACCCCTCTTTTCCTTAGCCCGAAAGCACTAAGCCTGAATGTAGAATCCTAACGAAGCCCTAGTTTGAGAACAGCTAACTCAGCCCAGACTGGAAATTGAACCCGTGACCTTCTGATCTGTATTGGCTTAATGTGATACCGGTGGTGCTTTACTCACTAAGCCATTGCAAATTTGCAAAGGCTATTTAATGAATTACACTGTGTCACATATTAACTCTTATATAAATCTGATGTCAGATTTGCCCATGCAAACCCAATTCCTTTCTTCTCTAGTCCCCACCCCTCTCTCCCACACAAACAAGCAATTGGGATGACAAATTGAATATATTCTCCATGTTTGTGGGATGAATATCAGATCAGTTCCTGGTTCGGGTTGAGTTAGCTACGATAGGAACAGAAGATTGAATGGCAATGGTTGGAACCAAGCGATTTTATGCCTGCAAATTACAACAATCAAAGGAGTGAAATGTGCCCTGTTGTAGTGACTTTAACCTCGTAATAAAAATAATGCTTGCATCTATTATAGCACTTCATCAAGTTGTCAACACATTTCAAAGCACTTCAAAGGATTTATAGTGTAGTGACTGTGTATTTGTAGATATTCATGTGCTTATAGTGGGACAGTATGATAAAGTGTATTACAAGTGCAATGACTGTGTATTTTGTAGGCAAACCATTTGCATGGTTTCTGCCACTTTTTCAACTTGTGATGTTTTGGCATTGAAGATCTGCATCAGTTTTAGTTACAGGATGTATTAAAAGTGGATTCAGCAGTTGAGTTTTTTTATTACTTACAAGAATTGCAAGTTAGGCAACTGCTTGCAAACAGCTCTTGGAAGCGAAGTTATTTGCGCTCCTGTCAGTGTCCTGTCCAGAACAAAAGACATTTTTAAGCATAAGTATCTTGTGTGATAAAGATTTACAACGTTTCCCATTAATATCTTTCAAAGGCGCAGCTGAAATTGTGCCAGTTGACATAGAGGAAGTAGGGACTTACAGACTTTCTAGACTTGTGGTTCCAGTAAGATCCGGAAATTCAGTTATTTCTGTAGCTCCATTAAGCGAGCTAGAGTCAGAAAAAGAAATGAGCGAAACAGTTAGGATCCTAATATAAGTTTATTGGCTTAATAAATCCTGCAGAAGGTTTCACTTGGATAAGGCTAAAGTTTAAAAATTTACTTACAGAGTACGCAATTCGGGTAGATGTTGAAAAGCAGACTTTCCAACAAACTGAATGGGGTTGTCGTAGAAATGGCTGCAAAGGGAAAATAACACTAAGATTGTCATTTTTTTTCCAATCGTAAGTCCCTCGGGTGCTCGTTAGCTCAAAAGCTTAATGTCACTACCTTTTAAATTCACCTCTGCCTTTCTGCTGCTCAATTTAGATCAGGTGGCAAGATAGGCAACTGGATAAAGATGGCAAGTGCTTGAAGCAACTTTAAAACTTTCAAGAATTCTCAAAGGAACTGTGTAGCCAAATGTATGGCTTAAATCAGGCTCGTTCTTAGCAATAATATTTGAAACTACTCTCATTTGTCTTCTTAGCCCCTGCACTAGCTTCACTTATTTAACAAAACAGCTCACGTACTATGTCAGGTTGGCTCAGTTGAAAGCATTCTTGTCTCTTTGTCAGAAGGTTGTGGGTTCAAGCTGCATGTCGGAATTTGAGCTCATATAGTCCAAGCTAACATTCCAGTGTGTCCTTCAGATGAGACATTAAACCAAGGCCCCATCTGCCTGTTCAGGTGGACATTAAAGTTCCTATGGTATTGTTCTATAAAAGAAGGGAGTTTCTCCCAGTGTCCTTGTTATCAATTCCCCAGATATAATTAGTCATTCATTTCATGGTTGCTTGTGGGACATTGTTGTGTGCAAATTGACTGCTACGCTTGCCTCTTAATACGCAGTCACTGCACTTTATAGGAAATCCTGTAAAATCCTGTAAATCCTTTGAAACTCTCGATGGCTGATTTGATGCTATATCAAATACTAAGATTATTATTATTTTTTAAAAATCATCAATATTCTCCCATTTTCCCGATTCTCTCTGTGCATTTATTTTAATTATATTAGTTGAATTCGCTTTCTATATATTTTCAAATTAAACACCCGTTGTTTATCTCACACCTAATTCTTTCTGCCAACACTCCTCTGTTTGGAAAGAGAGAATAGCTGTTTTTACAAACCATTAAATGAAAACCTAACGATGGAAGATTGGCAGGGCCACATTGCAGTTGTGTCCAGAGCAATTTCGAATAAGATTTGTTTTGCCTCTGAACGAGGAAGAATGCTTTGTGGAGTCCTGTAGCTCAGTGGTTAGAGCACTCGCCTTACAAGCGAGACACCGGGGTTCAATTCCTGGCAGGGCGAAACCTTGGGCAAGTTTCCTTAATCCACACGCCTAATAATAATCCCTCCAAAAAAACCAAAACAATAATAAATTGGTCATTTTCAATGCACGACTGTCTGTGGGACACTGCTGTGCGCAATTGGCTGCCACGTTTCGCCCACAAATATATGGTCAATTCACTTTACAGTATATTCTGTGAAGCGCTTTGAGAGGTCGAGAAGACGTGAAAAAGCGCTATAAATAATAATAATAATAATCCTTGCATTTGATATAGCGCTTTTCACGTCGGGAGGACGTGATCAAATGCAAGGATTATAATGTAACATCCTTGTCAGCTGCTGTCAAGCAAAGGGCGAACCCAACGTAGCAGCACTTGAAGAACTGATGCTGCACTACAATTTCGTAAATCCCAGCCCAATGTGGGCTGGTACCATAATCTTGCCATCCCAATTCACAATAAATGTTGATGTTATTGTACTGTTTGTAACTTTTTACAGTCTAAAGCAGGGATGGCCAATTTCCGACCCGTTGCAGCCTCCTTGACTATGTTATGTATACGTAATGTGGAATGGGCCACAAGTTTGCCATCCCTGGTCTAAAAGATGTGAGGGCTAAAAATCCACCTAGTTTAGTCCTACAAGACTATTTTGTCTTAAAATTCAAGATTGTGGAAACGGGTTTTCTGTGGTTCTTAAAAAGAACCGGCTTCCAAATTTGACCTGAATTTAGGAATTCTCTACAATTCTTGGCAATTGTAAATTTTACTCCAGCAATCCTACAGGCTAAGATTAAATGGAAATTCAGGCCACAGGTTTGACTATATGTCACACAGGAAGGAAATGTGAGACAAGGTAGCAGAAAAACGTTGCCAGTGAAATAATTTTTCCCCTTTTAACATTTGCTCCTTAAGGCAATGACTCAGTTTTGGCTAGTCTATAGTACCTCATACAAGTTGTCATTTTTTATGTGTAAGCCTGGGACTATTCTACCATAAAGGCTGTTACAGCCATGTTCAATTCTGTTCTCACCTGGCCTCTACACCACTTTACGTCCACACTTATGCACTTTCAACAGGAGCGAAAGTATAATAATCAGGAGAAGGAACCTTATCAATTGTAAGTTTCAACCTGGCAATACTGCAGCATATTCCAAAAAACTTTTGGTTATAAGTGTTAAAAGAGACAGTTGCACTCCTGTCTCTTTACTAACATTTTTAGTTCAGTGCTTGTGATTAATGTTTGGAAGCAATGTTTTATCTTCCCCAGTTTTACAAAGTTTTGTTTCAGATGATTCCATTGTTGAGTAAACAGAACGTTTGCCTACAGAACCCCCTTTGGTACGTTAAGGAGGAGTTTGTTGCAGCTGGGGACCCACCCTTACCCCAGCCATGAAACTAAAATAATAGTTGGACAGAGTATACTTTGCGTTATTGCTTTCAATTTTAATAAAAGATTAATGAGATCGTAAGGTTTCTCTTGGAAATGGCACTTTCGATATTTTTCCAAAGTGCATTTATCCCAGCGTACCAGCCTTAAGGAATTAATTATACTTTTACCAACCAAAGGTGCAATTCATTTTATTTGCCACCCTGCTGGAAAACAATTTAACTTGGCTAGTTAAGAAAGGATTTTAAATATAGAATTCACTGAATGGAAGACAGAAACATTGAATTTACAGAAAACTGCATGCCGGTTCATAGTGCATTATACAGAAGCAAAGTATGAAAAAAAACTTACATTGTTAGCAGCGATGGATTACCAACAAATGCTTGCTTAGGAATCAACTGGATGTTGTTGCTGTGAAAGCCCCTAGAATAATTTACATTAAATAAGTAACAAAATTAAATAAGCCAGTCCTACACAATCTTAAATTTGAATCTTTGTTGTTTTCCTTCACAGTAATTCTGAGCCCTGGCAAGCAAACATAGGAAGAAAACCCTTAGTTGAGTTCTTAGCCCTTTAAGGATGCATTGCGTCATCCAGTGCATATCCAGCTCCAACCAGTACCTTATACAGTATCCCAAGGTTAATCACAGCAATTTTCCCCCCACGATTTGTTATGGCAATTCCCACATTACCTACGAGGATGCCAAACCAAGATTCTGGGGACTGATATGCAGCAACTTCTGCTTAATTAAGGAAGCCGTCAATTCACAGCAACCATTCCTCACAATCCACTTTCCAAGCAGCAATCCATGTTATCTACATTCAGTGTGATCTGTGGTGAGTTACTGGAAAGAGTCCCTCTTGAGTTTCTTAATGTATTAATCCCATTAAAATTGCTGCAAATTAGATCCCACTATTTGAGGTTGAAAGCATTGAGGTTCCCTCCATATTCTCTTTAGTTGCCCTGATCTCCCCCAGATCATGTCCAACCTATGCACACAGAACCACAGATGAGTCCCCATCTGCCTTTCTTACTAACCTACCTCAGCATCCATCCCTATGCTGGAGCAATGCCACTGCATCACAAATGAACTCTCAATTCTCAGACCTTTCCTTTTTTCCCTTTCTGTAACAAGCCATCTGATTTGTACAAGTGCTTGCTTAATATTCATGGAAGTGGCAGGAAATCCTTTTCTATTATCCCTGGTGCGAGCGATTACCTGTGGGGCTTTTCCTTTGACTAGGATTCCAAAGTCTGCAAACACACTGTAATCCTTTTGAGGGGAATATCAAAGAAAATTAAGTCTCAAGAAATTAAGGGAACTGATAAAGGGACAAATGGCTGAAACATTGAATTGACCCTAATTCAGGCACTTTCATTACATTGCTGCACTTTCACATGGATAATTATAAATAAATTCAGGGTCAGTCTTCTTGGAGCCTGTGCAATGATCCAAATATTTCAGCGTGCTTGATGTGACAAAACAAAATCAACTATGCCCCTTCCTTTCTTGATCCAATCAGAGTTATTCCATTGATCAAACTGACAAATGTAGGGTCAGGGGTTGAATTCCATGTCAATTGCTGTGCAATTGCATTCCTGCAAACTGATAGTTTCACAGCTAGAATCTACATTATATTATCAATATGCACCAAGTTTGTTGGAGCCAGAATATTCACTTCAGTACGCCTCGTGTCTGCTTTGGGAAAGCAGAGGATTGACAAATTTGAGTCTCTTATTGACGAGGTCAGCGGATGTATTAGATCCTTTGGATGCTATGACATTTAATTGGATTCTTTTACTTTTTTTTACGTTGACCCCATCACCCAAGGTGTATCAGATAACAAGACCCGCGAGGCCAAATATACTCAAGGCTCAATGAATCTTGGCTTTGAAAGGTGCCAACATTGGAATTTCATGCATTAAGGCAAGTTCCCTGGAAATGCCTTTTTCATGTCATTAAACTCCAATATGATTTCTCAAAATACTGTAGAATAAAATTCCTGCAATTAATGCCAGCAGTGAGAGGCCCTGATTCCCAAACAATCTTACTTCAGTTTGTTCCAAGGCCCTCTGGCTTCACACAATTGGATATAGTTGCAGAGTAAGATTTATTTCTCTTTCTCTNCCCCCCACCCCACCCCAATATTCTCACAACCTTCCAGAACCTCAAACAAATAGCTGCATGTATCTAGATTATGAGCAGTTAAGGAGGTTGGGGAATGTCCTTGATAGCTGAATGGGTAAAGGGCTGGCGGAGCACTAAGCTACAGAGACCAGAGGTCACAGGTTCAATTCTTGGTTTGTGCTGAGTTTGCTGATCTCAGCCAGGGCAGCAATATAGCTTCAGCATCCCTTATCTAGGGAGGAAAAACTGAGCTGGGCTTTCTGATCCAGTGACCCTTACTAGAAGGTTTGCTGTGTGCACATCAAAGAGAGATGGAATCAAGCGAAGCTGTGATGACTCCCAAGCAGCAGAACAGCCTACGGCTGATGACACGTGCAACAGCCATGAGGCAAGATACTGTACAATAGGTAATGTCTATGGAACTGCTGCCCAAGACGAGTCAGCATATTTAAGAGATAAAAGAGAAAAAATAGAGATAAAAAAGAGAGAAGAATTATATTGGAATGGATATTGGAATGGTACAGTCTCACTGAGTATGTCAACTGCTCTTAAAAGAACAAGCACCCCTTGAAAAAAATCTTTCTACATTGAGTAGAATAAATAAATGTATTAAATTAGCATACAGAGAACAATTTCTAAGTTTGCTCATATAAAACAAAATTCACTGCACTTCAAAAATAAAACTGTTACACACGATGGGCGTTTGGTACGCTTTGATATGATAAGATGCTATGTTAAATGCATTATTGATTGGTTATTTCTTGCAGGTGTCTGTATTTATTGAATTTTTCAATGAGTCCTCAAACCTTGTGATTTGAGTGGATGTTAAATTATGCGCTTAACGTTTCTTCCTCCTTCATCTGAATTAATTGCAAGGAATTTGGATCCAATTGGCTACTTGTCTCATTGATGTCTGTGGAATATTGCTTGCACAAATTAGCTACTGCAGTTTGCCTAGATGACAACATTTCTAATCATTTTCACTTTGTGAATCGCTTTGGTATATTCTTTTATTTGAAACCTATATAATTTAAGATGCGTATTATTTTATTATAGCTGTATTTCTTACTGATTTGCAATCTTTCATACAGGAACGTACAGGAGCGGAAAATACCATTGTAGCCTATCTGTTTAGTCCTACATTGGTGACATTGGGTACTTACAGCTCTTTGAGGTTTGTCAGTGCCCTTATAGCGATAGGAAACTCATCCAGATTGTTGTAGTTCAAATCTCTAAATAAAAAGGTTAACAAGTATGAAAAATCTAAACACACGACTTGCGTTCGACATCAGAGTAAACCTCTGTTACATTACAAATCCATGTGAACAAGTTCCAAGTGGTTCACCTTCTGAAATGCTACAATTTTAACACAATTAACATTATAGCAAATTTGTTGCCATTTTTAAAAACTTTTTTAATGTTTTAATACACTTTTAAAAACTTTTAAAAATGTATTAAAATTGTTTTTTAAGCTTTGGTGCATTAAACCATTGCCACCTTTAACAGATCACATGATCATTTTATGGAGAGGAGACAAACTGCATTTGCCTACTGTATTTGTAAATAACATGCAAGTCTTCAACTAAAATGAATTAGCAGTGTTTCATTGCACCTACAAACTCACTTTCAGTTTGCCTTTTAAATCCAAACAGATGATATTGGTCAGAAAATGTGCCAGTGAGGATTAATATGGGATTGGCAGTCGATGAAATAGCAAGTAATTTAAAGAAGAATTTTCCTATCTGCCTTTTTATTAAAAAAATTGGCATTAACATTTCAAAAACAAGACAAAAACTAGTCAGTTGGTGTTAAATATTGGTAATAGGTTAACATCCCAGTATTCTTTGTTGAATTACAGCCCATTCACTTTATTGATGTTACCCTCATACAGTAAAGTGGTCCTGATGCCTCTGGAAGTTCTAGAGCCCACCAGTATAGATGGCTTCAGTGACCATCCCTGGACATTAATACCTTCCTTCCAACAAGGAGACCCTCATGTTTTCTGGCTGCTGCTCAGCCTGCTCTTACAAGCCAACAAGTCTGACTTGTACAGACTTCTGTTTATTGAGAGGAGGTATAAGAGACAGAAAGAGTTTTTCTAATGATTTAAAGAGAGATTTGCCAGTTTACAGCCACAGATGTCAATATTTTACAAATCTTTCATATTTCTACTTTAATATTCACGGGCAAAAATCTATCAACTATCACATAAGGCTTTTTTTGTTAGTGGGGAGGATGGGTGGGGAATGCGCGATGAGGTTGTTTGCTTAATGGGTGTTCTCAGAGGTTTCCAGTTGTTTTTAATTATGGTTGTAGAAAGGTCTTTGGAACACATTCTGAACTCAAACTATGAGAAGATGTGCAGTTTTTGGCACATTCAGATATTGCAAAAATAGGCTAAGCCCCTGGTCATAAAATATTCAGCACCAAATTACAACCAGGGGACCTTGAAAGTGATGAGATTTAGGCTTTGAACACTGAATTATTAGCAACTGTTTACCTGTAGTAATCTGCCAGGAGGAACCAACTAAATATCATAAAATGTAATGAATCGTATGGTATACGTATGATATCATTATATATTCATTCTAAATTTATAGATAAATACTTGTTTTACAATTATTTAGATTTTTTTTCTTGTTTTGTCTGCTTCGCCAATCATTTCCCAAATATATATATGTGTGTGTGTGTGTGTGGTTTTTGTGGATTGGATTGTGATAAAGGTTGGAAACCTTGTCTGGATTCCCTCTCTATATTCTGGGGCACTGAGCTAATTGTAGTGCATCAACTATTAGCCCAGCTGAGATAAGCATAACTTGGAGCTCTAAGTTTTAAGAATGTTTGGAAAACAGAATTTTGTTCTTGTAAGAAAAAAAAGCATTTTGAATTGGGATGTGATCCGGCACTTCAAAATTATGTTAGCTATAGAAAATACAGATGCAGCTAGACTATTTAACTTTCACCGTGAGAGCAGAGGAGTGGACATGGAATAGAGTCCAAAAAAAATAGTGTTTTTGTCAATTAAGAACTAGATGGGAAGCTGCTTGAGAACATCAATGGAAGATGTGTGCTTGACAAAGATTCTGTAGGATTTCTTATTGCTATTTCTGTATTTCTGGCACTGGGAAAAGGGGAGATGGGAAATTATGTATGGAAAAGGAGACTCGTCCTCAATAATGGGATGGATGAATATATTGGAATATATGTGTCATTACCTTGGGGTTCATGGAGTATTTATATTATATATTTCCCTTAATAATAATAATAATAATAATAATATATTATTGGTGATAGAGTGGACTGGGTTGTCTAGTACATGGTAGTTGAGATTTGGGTTGTCTAGTACATGGTAGTTGAGATTTGACAATGCATATACAGTCACTATATGTGACAGAGATTATCTGTGATGTGCTTTGGAATGTTTCCAAATTATAGGTCTAATATGAAATACAAATTATGTATTTTTATCATTTGGTATTGAATATGGAAGAAGCTAACTTGATGGATGGTTTTCTGATTCCATACATTCTTAATTCAACATACACTGAGGATCAAACTTGGGGATCAAACCTGCAACCTTCCTGGTCTGTACGGTTCAGCTACTCACTCGATAAAACTGCTGTTAGTATGTTGTGCATTTTGAAATGTAAAACCAAGGTTTTTTTTAGAAAAAGAGTTAGTGCCTTTGTTTCACTATTTGAAAAAAAGATATTTTGATCCTTCTGTGTTCTTTAAGTCTTTTATCTGCATTTCAACTTATTTTTATGCTTTGAAAACATTCAAAAGGGAAACAAATCAGAGGTCAACTTACAAGGTTTCCAGGCTGTGGAGTCCATCAAAGCATTTCTTTCCCAGGGAGTGAATTCTATTGTTATGGAGATGTCTGCGGGGTAACATTAACAGCGCAGTCAGGAAAGCACAATGCACACAGCAGGGTTAAGCAAACGTTTTCATTGGTTGACTCACAAGGACCTTGGGCCTCGGTCATTGGAAATACTCATTTTATACAGGTCACGCAAAGGCTAGGTAAAACAACAATCACAACATAACTGCATCTGTGCATCTTCAAGATTGGCTTTAAAATGGTTGAAAATTATGTTGGGTGATACACCACCTCCCTCAATCTCTCTAGAGACTTCAAATTGTATTTGACTTATGAAGGCTTTCACTCCCAGCAGAAAATGCCAGGAGATCCAATACATATTTTACATTGCTGCCTAGAACAGTAATTCACCATATTTTTAGTTTTGATTTTTTCCCCAATGGTGTTAGATTCTGAGTCGTAAGATTGAACAAATTGCCTAGGAATTTCTGCACCAAGCAGTAGGATCGAGCTGAAACCTTCATTCTGTGATAGCAGTTAAGTGGTAATGCAGAAGATTTGCAATGTTCCAATGTATGCAGGGCATTTGTAACTGCAAAAGTATTTCCAGTTATTGATTTTTCGCAATGTATGACTTTAATTCCTCGCAGGGATGCTTCTGTGACTCAAGGAATGGTACGTATCCAATAAAAGCTATACAATATAGGTCTTGGAACTCCACTAACAGTTTAGCACAAGTGGAGTTATGTAGAATAGTTTTGAATCACTCTCTGATGGGAAGATGGATACACAGAAAACAGAGGCATTGAAAACAGAGTAAAATGGCACTATTTACAAATTAGTATTCTCATGAAACTGCAATTAAACAATTACAGAAAATGTATATGGTGTATTTACTGTATTGGTGAACAGTATGGATATCACTCTGTGTTTCTATTGGTTTCATTTCTTATGCTGTAATATGTTTCTACCTTACTGCTATATAGTTCTGAACCTCAATCTGAAACAGAGTGTTCCATCAATGATCCCAGGGAACAAATGTGTAACCAAATCACAGGAACAATGGGATTGGCAAGAAAACAGCACACAATGTATTGGGAATATGAAATCCTGCTCTCCCACAGGCAGCACTGTGTTTGTCCATCAAAATCTCCCACTAGTATTGGCTGAGTGTTGTGTCTCATCTTTTTCAGATGCCAGAAGAGAATAGAACTGGCATCCACCTCATGTTACATCTCAGGTGATAGATCCTGTTATCAAGTGAGTATATCCTGCCTTTGGGTTTTTGGTTCACTGGAGCAAGGCAAACATACCTTTCACCAAGAAGCCACCTTTCCAAATAGTCGGTATGCAAAAGCATTAATCAAATTATTTATGCGATTATATATTATATTAGAACACTCTACCACACGAGCACCTCCAAAATACAACCCAGTGGCTTTAAAGTCACACAGACCAAAAAAGGTTTGTGACTCAATCCCTGATCGGTGTTACATTAGCTGATCTCAGTCAGAATGGAAGTAGTAGGACATTATAATTAATTCTCAGTACCCGAGGCAAGGGAAGGAACTAATTGATAGGGTTTCTGCTCCTGACTGAGATTCAGTAATTCCTGCAGAAAAATGCATGTGTATGAATATTAGGTCAGGGGATGACTTGCGCTTGGTGTGAAGCCTTCTTCATCAGATATCCTATTGGTACTGGCATTCAATGACCTCCGACTTGCAATATTCCTCAATAAGAATTTGAGTCATATAAATAAGGTAATCTTTTAATAGCTGTAACTATTTGACGCTGACCCATGGCAACTAGTTTCAACTTCCAAAGAGGAGTTGCAAACGTGAATTCTGATGGAATTTGGAATTAAGGAATTCTGGTAAGGAATACCAGAAATTAGTCCATTGTCTGATCAAGTCAATCAGCACAAGTTCTGTCATGGAACCGTATCTCAGCATCAGTAAAAGAAGAGTAAGCGGTGGAGGAAACAAACAGAAATGCAGACCCATATTGTGGAGATGACATAAAATCACTTCTAATTTGGTGTTATGCTGCAAAAGTATAGCCACTTTCCCTTCCAGCTGGTCACATGAAATTGGTCCTTCTCTCCTGCACAACAATTCAGTTCAATGTGTCTTCGATATCTATAATACACCTCTTTGCTTGGTAGTGTTCATGGCCTTTTGGATAATCTTCCAGCACTCACTCTCAAGAACATGGTACAGTGGCCATGCCCTAAAAAATGGTAGTGCTGACTGGCAGCCATAGAAAAGACATTTAATTCTCTATTGGAACAATTGATGCCTCCTTTCTGTGCATCCAAGAAAGCATGTGCACCACATGGCATACAGTACTTGCATTACCACATTGAGACATTCCCAAACTGCGCTAACTGTGTATTTGAAGGAAATGCAGCAGCCAATTTATGTACAACAATCCCCCGCAAAAAACATAGAGTGCATAAACAACATTTTAATTGTCCTGATCCTCTGTAAACAGTGGGTAGAGATCTTTAACATCCATAGAACAGGCTACCAAAGCCTTGGTTTAACCTTTCAACCAAAGGTCGCCATCTCTGACACTGCAGCGCACCCCTTAAAACTGCCCTGGAGTTTCAGCCAAGACTATGATCTTAAAGTCCTGATGTGGGACCCACACCCTTCTGATCCAGAAATAAGAGTCCTATCAACTGAGCCAAGCTAACACCAAATGGTACCTGCAGAAATAGCAGATATTCCTGGCAAAACACCACAGCTTGAAATATTAGTGTTCCACGTTGAGTGCAACATTTGCTGTTTCTACTCAACTCTTGATATGACATGAAGTACTTGTGAACTAATATCAGTAGTACCTGGTGTCCTGTGATTAATTCAGCTATGCCAGTAATTGTTTGTTTTTGTTGAAGAACATCATTACTCATTAAAAAACCCAACAATTGTTTCACACGACTCCATGGTATTGTGACATTATTCCATGAACCAATATAGAGGTATCTCCCCCTCACTGTTTTGATGCTCCAGCTCCATAGAGATTCTGGCTAGTTGATCTCATTCTTCCAGAAATACCAACCCTACAGTGTTTCCAATACAGCATCAAACTAGCTTTTAAATGAAAACAAGTTGTTTCCTGGCTTCAGTTACCTTTCCCAATAACCCACTTGAGCTGTTGATTTCCCTCTGTATAAAGAAATGCTTTCTGACATTAGTCCTCAACTTGCCCTTCACAACCATGAACATGTGATTCCTTTGCCAAGTGGTGTTTCAGGTTTGTTCCATTTGCTATCCTACTTTAAAGATGCTTCTCAAATGACATTGCCAATATGCATACTTTTTAGACCACCAAGATTTATTCCTCAATCTGATCAGCATTTTTCACAAAGACCTTTTTCAGCCACTTGCACCAAACAGGCGTATCTAAAATTATGTTCACTTGGAACAAAGCTGCAATAGAATACATCCCCCNAAAAACACAACACAAAATTACTTACAGAACTACCAAGCTGGAAAGGTTTGCAAATGCGTAGTCAGGGATGTAAGGAATTTTATTCAAGGCCAACGTCATAGCCTGTAGGCAAAGTAAACTACAGAGAGCCTCCACTGGAATTTCTGTCAGGGCATTGTCATCCAGCCAGAGGTGTCGAAGGGAGCCAAGTCCTTTGAAACTGGTTGGTGGCACAACGGAAATATGGTTGGCATCCAGTCGCCTGGAGAAAAAAAAAAATACTCGCATTTAGCATAGCATCTTACCACAACAAAACATCTTAAAGAGCTTCACATGACAAACTCGTAGTGTAGTGGCTGATATGTAGCCAAAAGCAGCAGCTAATCTAGATGCTGGATTCAATCTCTAGTCTATGCTTGGTTAGCAGATACTAATCATCCTTGCATTTGATCTTTGCACCTTTCATGTCAGGAGGACATCTCAAAGGGCTTCAAAGGATTTGCTGTGAAGTGTAGTGAACATTTGACGTTTATCAAAATGCCAATGTTCAGAATTGCACACAGAACTGCATACAGAATGTTCCACAAATAGCTATGAAGTGAATGACAAATTTTACCTTGAGGATTTTTGGTCAGGACACTGGGAGAAACTCCCTTCTCTTTTCGAATAGTGCCATGGGAGCTTTAACATCCGCTTGAACAGGTTGATTTAAACGTGGTGCTTGGGACCACAACATTCTGACACAGAGGCGAGAGTGCTACCACTGCACCAGGCTAGACCTTAGGTATCAGCGAGACAGCAGTAGGAATGCTACAATTGCCTTAAGTGCCTCAGGATAGTGAGGCTAAAACTCCCACTATTGAACACCCCACTAAAACATCACGATCAAGGCCCCCTTGGGCAAGGAAGAGGAGCTAGTGCTTGGGGAACTGAATCCAAGTAGAAGGAAAACTGAATTAAACTACTTCAGCAGGGGATAGGAAAAATTGGTGGAGAAAATTGGCAAAGAGGAAGAGAAGCATAGAACATCTGCAGTTAATCCACTGGAATTAGGATAATCATCCTCAACTCGAGCACATTCTGTTTCAATTGAATTACACTGGATTATGTATGGATTGCTTTTATATTCTTCAAGTATTTATTAGTCTATTTAACGCCTCCACATAAACATAGACAAACTACAGTACATACTGTCCTTCATACAAAGGTTGGTGAAATCAGTTGCTGAATTGTCTAAAATTTCAGGTGTTCAGAACCTGAGCTGTCCTGTAAAGGTCCTCTCACCACACTGAAGGCAGATGAACGTCAAATAGTTGATGAGGAAACTCTGACACTTGAGGCGACAGCTTCTGGAAGGCTTTACCTGAAGTCTGAGTTTGTGAACACACATTTGTACACCCAGCACCAGGAATTCACCTTGATTGGCTTGTAGAGGGGTAAGCAGCTGCTGCTTAAATTCCACCCCTCCAATTGGTGGAACCTCTAGGAGTCCTGTAGCTCTGTGGTTATTGCACTCGCCTCGGAAGCGAGAGACTTGGGTTTGATTCCCGGCAGGGAAGTTTCCTTACTCCACATGCCTCTGTTTACCTCGCAGTAAATGGGAACCTGGTTGTTAGTCGATTGGTGGATCGTTTTCCCGGGGGTAATAATTCCTTCCAAATAAAATAATGATAATAAATTGGTGATTATCCTCCTTGGGGCAGAGGTAAGCAGGTTTCTTTGGACCTGAACTTGCTCCAAGGTGACATATTTGGCAATTGAATGTTGGAATTGAGCCAGTCCTCTGCAGTGGTTTTGGTGGTGCTGATGACAGCAGAGCCAGTCTGGCTCATCAGCAGGACTCGGGAGGGCCAGACCAGTCACTGTTGACTCTTCCCAATCAACTTGTGTTAACCCTGCAGGCCAAAGCCTTAAAGAGTAGGGTGGTCCTAGCTGGATAAACAGACAGTGCGACAAATGGCAAGCTATGCAGTTTTAGCTGGTTAGACTCCAGCAGTACTCCAACACACACTCTGGGGTTCCCAAGCCTTGCCTCTTGCTAACTTGCGCCTAATAATTTCTGGAATTAGATAAGCAGGAGAGAATGCGCATTCCATTCCAACAATCTATAATAATAATAATCCTTGCATTTGATATAGCGCTTTTAACAGTTTCTAGACGTTTCAAAGCGCTTCACAGATTATACTGTAAAATGAATTGACTGTATATTTGTGGGAGAAACGTGGCAGCGAATTGCAGACAGCAGTGTCCCACAAACACTCGTGGATTGAGTGACCAAATTATTATTGTTTTTTTTTGAGGGATTATTATCCCCGGAAAAGACGAACAATTGTGTTCCAACTACTGCTAGGTAAACATAGGCGTTCCATCTCTGTGATTTCCATGTGTAGCTGGGATGCATGGAATTCTGTTTGATTTGGATACTCTTATGCTGGTGATGACATGTCTGACACCCAGCTGACCAAAAAAAAACTCATGCCTTTCAAAGGATTGAAAGTACCATTTTGATATAATTTTTTTAAAAAAATCAAAGCAATGTTTTTGGCAAATTTTGCAGGGCAAATAATCCCTACCTTTTTTAAAAAAGCAAAAGAAACTTAATACACACAGGTTGATCATGCCAGATATACTTCATAGCTGTCAGGAAACTAGGTAGAACAAAACAATCCTGTTAAATGTTTTATATTTGTTTGGTTTCTAACAGACCGCCTCATGGAATCAATTAGACTCCACACGACAAAAGAAACCAGGTAAGGAAAAAAGGTTTGGACCCCACTGGCAAATCTCTAACTTTTATCTTAATGTGTTATTCCAAAAGTCAACAGCAAAGGAATTATATATTAAAGAGAATGAAGTCAAGAAGAAAAAAAAATCAGAATTAAAAGGAACCAACGAGCAAAACACATGGCAATATCATATTTAAAGATTTGTTTATACTGCTGGGAGTTATTATGTTATTATTTCCAGGGAAGGGAATTATTTCGGAGTTAACTGCATGCACAAACTCTGAAGTTATTCGTTAGTTGTTTAATGTATTAAAAGACTGATTGCAATGACCAACTTTTTAATAACATTAGAAAGATGTCCCTTAGAGACATTGAAAAGATATCCCTCTGCACTGCACTGCACTGGATTTGCAACCAGTGGATTTATACAAAGAACCGCATGTGATCCAGGCTTCAGGAATCAGGGCTGCTCAAGCTTGATTTATACTGCACTATGTTCACCATATTTACAGCATCAGTTACTAGGAAAAAGACCAAAGAACCCACTGGAGCAAAAGATGTAACATTAACACAGAGAGAAACCGGAGAGGAGGCAACAATAACACTGATTACAGAGTGCAGTTACAGTCGGTCTGCCATGCAGCACGGCTGCTGTCCAGCACAAGAATGTGTTTACATGCACATCACCATGAGTCAATGTCTTCAAGAGAGGAAGGGAGAGAATTGAAGGGAGGGGAACATTTTTTTTTCTCCCTGAAACCTATACTTTAGACAAAACAATGACATTTTCTTTCAGATCCAATTCATTTTATTACCAACTGCTGTACGTGTCGTGTCATCGAGAAGTTAATACCCGATGTTGGAGTCACTTCTATTATTTTCCCCTAAAAACATCCAATGGCTTAGTTGGTAAAGGCATCGTCCAAATGAAACTGAACCATTCAGATTTGGATGGTCCCAGGAATAATCCCTTGTCTGCAATCAGTTAGCTGATCTGAGTCTGGACAACAGTAGGTCTCTACAATTGGCCTCAGTCTCTCTGGGATAGGGAAGTAAAATAATTTCCTGTGCTCCTGGTCCTGGTTGCTATCTGGCTACATTATGGAGCTTGGTTGGATATCTTACTGTGCTATGCAGACTCACATGTCAATGGTTATTTGGAAACTGAAGAGTAGCTGGAACCATCTTGTATGAATCATTATCTTCTGAAGAAGGTGAGAGGCAGATGGAGGGTGGAGGTAGGGATTTACAAATTATGGTTTACATCTGTGAACAAATTATACCATTGACATGCTTACCAATAATTTTATGAGTTAACATTTTCCTGTTACTGTAGATCACCCTCTATACTGTGTCAGATGTCATCATGACCTGCCCCAAGGATCTCGGTACAAATTGTCTTTATGGCTCAACAAAAAAATAAACTGAGGACTTGTGAGGAAAAAAGCTAAACATAACCAGCTTGCTTACTTCTCCGCTCTAAATCAAAAGAGTATGGGGCACTTCTGGTTTCTATCAGTTTGTTCTATCGACTGCATACATCCTAGCTTTGCTGAGGATATTTGTAATGTGCACTCTGCCATCACTGCAAACTAATTTTCAGATTGTTGTTTAATTCACCATCCAATGGAGCATCATGTGTACTGGCTCACCAAAGTCGGAATTCAGGATGCTCATATTTTATAACCAGAATATCGCGCAGTGCAATTGGAGAAGGTCATTGCAGTCTGGAGAAAATGCCACAGACGAGTGCTGGAGTCTTTTTATTTTTATTCCTGGGTCCATTAACAGTTTACTCAATAATCTTGAAAAATAAGTGCTAAATATTTTCGGAGAACTTAGGACCTCAGACGTCAACATCAAGCATGAATCAGTAACCCTGAGTCATAGAAAAACACATTCGAATACAATGGTTATTTTCTGCTCAATTCCCAGAATTATTGCAAGCTTAATTGTTGAACCTTGAACCAGACTTGCTCAATAGGAAATAATTATAGGGAAAGGACTAGACATTGTTGTTCTTTTTGACCAAATTTAATTTATCTGTCTGTGGTTTTAAAATGAATGTTGCTTTCTACCATCAAAGTTTAGATTTGCCACCAAAGGGAGGTTGAGTTTTTGGGGCGTAATTTTTTAATCATATATGGTTAAGTAATAATTATACTACATAATAATCCTTGCATTTAATTTAGTGCTTTATCCTGTAGTTGAGACACCACAAAGCATTTCATTGGATTTACTGGAAAGTGTCGTGACTGTATTATGCAGGTGAACGTGACAGCCAATTTACGCACAGCAATGTCTTACAAACAACAACAACAAAATTGCATTTGTAAAGTGCCTTTCACATTGGGAGGATGTTCCAACAGTCAGGGATCAGGACCCGAGCATGGGGGACAGGGTTGGGATGAGGAAGGGCAGAGGGAGGCAAGGCAAAGGGATCGTGGGTTGGAGTTCCAAAGAGTGGGGGCAGAGAGGCTGAAAGCCCAGCCGCCAAAGGTAATAATAATAATAATAATAATAATCCTTGCATTTG